CCCTGGGAGATGGGAGACCTTTGAACGGACTGACCAGGTGGGAGGGAACCTGCTTCTGTTCTCGTGTCTGCGGCCCTGGCAAGCTACCCGGAATCAGGGGGAGTACTTAGTGGGCAGCCATGTGCTGCTCCTTTCTGCACCGCCTCACCCACCCCTGGCATCGCCCCTGGAGCCAGACAGCATCGTGACGCGTTTTCTCTTTCCCACAGCTCCTGGAGAGAAGCATCCCCCTCACACAGCCTCTGGGGACTTAAATGAGCTCCCACAGCAACACCTCAGGAGAGGCCTTCCTCCCCTCCTCTGTCACCGGCTGGAGATAATCTTTCTTCTCTAGATAAGAGGTGTAGGAAAGGGCCTGATGCCAGCAAGGCAAAAGGAATTGGAAACATACTCTGTGTACCTAAACCTGCCTCCCCGACAGAAGGTAACTCCCTTCTAGGTGGAAACTCCATTCTCCCCCACCTCCCAGCGGCAGCTCTGCATAATAGGTGCTTAATTTCTATCAGTTCTTTGACAAAATTATAAAACATTTTGTAGCTGAGTGCTGGGTGGGATTTTTTGTTTGTGTTTTGTTTGGTAAAACTCATTAAGTAACTGCTGAGGAAAAACTGTATTAAAATGTCACACAACAGCTCTCTACTCCCCTCCCCACCCCAGCAGCTCTTTTCGTCCCCTGCCCCTCCCCACCAAAAGGCCCATCTGGCACCCAGTCCTTCCAAGGCTTTCTTTTCTTTGACCTGACAGTACTGGGCAGTGGGAAAGGGTGCTGGGCTGTCTGGAGGAGGAGGAGAAGTGAACGGAGCCACTGTCCCCTCAAATTCCAGGGCTGGTTCCTCAGGGTCCCCTATTCTCAGCCTGGACAAAGGGGGGAGGGGGATGTGGAATGGTGTAAGGCTGTCAGCAACTGTCCCCACTGGGCCTGTGGTCCTCCCACCTTTTCTTTCAAAAGCTTCCCAGGCCCTATTGTAGCCAAAATTGGAAATCAGTTAGTGCCACCTAACCAATCTATTTATCCTCTCTGTGACCAACGGAGTTGCTTTAATACTCGTTAATTTGCATTTCCAAGGAGAGCAATTTATTTTTAATTATTTTATCAGGCACACCCGTCCTCTCCAAACATAATTAGTTCCTTTGCAAGGGGATTATTGACGGCTATAAGAACTCCCACTGTAGACCTACCCGTTCCTTAAATTCAGGTCCCTTTATGGCCTCATTTGAAACACTCCAAATGTTTCCTTACACATGTCAACACATTTGTCTCTTTTCTCCCAGGTAAGGGAGCATACTTTTACAGAAAACAAAGCTGAAATGAAGGCTTCTTAGAAGTATGATATTTTAATAGGGATTTGATGGGAAGAACAGGCCAGGCACGGTGGCTCACACTTGAAATCTGCACTCTGGGAGGCTGAGGCGTGTGTATTGCCTCAGGAGTTCAAGACCAGCCTGAGCAAGAGTGCAACCCCATCTCTACTAAAAAATAGAAAAACTAGCCAAGTATTGTGGCAGGCGCCTATCGTCCCAGCCATTCAGGAGGCTGAGGCAGGAGGATTGCTCAAATCCAAGAGTTTGAGGTTTCTGTGAGCTATGATGCCACTGCACTCTACCCAGGGCTACAGAGCGAGACTCTGTCTCAATGAAAAAAAAAAAAAGGAGGGTTAAGAACAGAACTGTGGACTGTCAGAGAATCCTAGAGCAGACTCGGGGGCTGTCCCTCTGCCTGGAATACTTTCCTTCAAGCCTTCACCCCTCTCTTCACTTGGGTACTCCCTTTGGCTCTCAGCTCAAGCACCTCTTCTTCACATTTGAGTCCAGCACAGAGATTGCACAGAGGAGACCAGAGCAAGGCTCAGGCGCACACTCCAGGCACTGGGACAGGGCAAGGGTCCTGTGACAACTCCAACACCGCCCCCTGCCCAGGATGGTGCCTTGTCTGTTCTGGATGCTCAGCCTTCATTCACGGGATCCAGCAGCTACATGGCACCATTTGTCCCACAGTGGGTTTCAGGCAAAAAAAAGAAAAAAACACTCGAAAGTCTTCTCTTTTTATTCCTTTTGAACTTCCAAGGTAACATTTGTCTTTCAGCTTGGCAGATGTTTTACAAGAAACCTCTTCTCTCTCCAATTATATACTTGCTCATTTTAGTTTTTGAAACTTAATGGAGAGCCTTACTTTTATTCGATGATTTTAACTTTTCCACTTTATGTCACCACCTAGTTTTACTTTCAGATTTTTGGGTTTTAAATCCTCCTTGGCAACAGCATAAGCCTCTGTGTCAGGGGTTGGCAAAATATGGCCTATGGGCCACATGGGCCACTATCTGTTTTGTTAATTACAACGTATTGGAATACAGTCACTCTAGTTCGCTTATATCCCATCTATGTCTGCTTTCATGATAAAATGGCAGAGTTGAGAAGTTGCCACAGAGACTATATGATCCACAAAACCTAAAATGTTTCCTGGCCTTTTACAAAAAATGTTTATCAGCCCCTACTCTCTTTTAATGGTTAATCCTTTATCTCTCTTAGCCATGTACTGAGTTTTGGGGGAAATTGATTATATCTGAATCTGTTATATATGTATGATTAATTTAATAAATAAATTTAGGCCCTTGGACTTGGTGTCTAGTCCATGTCATTCTGAGTTTGCCTCCCCCCTCCCAGGTTCATACCAGAGAGGGGAGTCCTGTCACTCCTGCCGTGTTCCACACCACTGCACCACTGTACTGAGTACCTGCTCTGTGCAAGACAAGTTGACACAGAGATGATTAAATCATGGTTGCTCCCTACTTTATTTTTAGTGTATTGAGACATATATGTGGAGGATTTATAGCTGAAGAATGCAATTGTAGAAAGTCACATGTCATCATAATTTTTAAAAATTGTATAGGATTAGGCTGAGTATGGTGGCTCATACCCATAACCCTAGCACTCTGCAAGGCCAAGGCAAGTGGATTACCTAAGCTCAAGAGTTTGAGAGCAGCCTGAGCAAGAGTGAGACCCCATCTTTATACTAGTTGACTGTCCTAGTGGGCACATATAGTCCCAGCTACTCTGTAGGCTGAGGCAGGAGGGTAGCTTGAGGAGGAGTCTGAGGTTGCTGTGAGCTATGAAGTCATAGTACTCTACTGAGGGTGACAAAGTGAGACCTTGTCTCAAAAATAAATAAATAATTAAAATAAAAACCATATAGGATTGGCTCAGCGCCTGTGGCTCAAGTGGCTAAGGCGCCAGCCACATACACCTAAGGTGGCGGGTTTGAATCCCCAGCCTAGGCCCACCAAACAACAATAATGTCTGCAACCAAAAGATGGCCAGGCATTGTGGCGGGCGCCTGTAGTCCCAGCTGCTTGGGAGGCTGAGGCAGGAGACTCGCTTGAGCCCAGGAGTTGGAGGTTGCTGTGAGCATGATGCCATGGCACTCTACCCAGGGGGACAGCTTGAGGCTCTGTCTCAAAAAAAAAAAAAAAAAAAAAAACCATACAGGATTTATTCATCATCTCAGAGTTTCATGGCATCCTCCTACGGAAGAGATCATTGTTGCTGTCCTACAGGTAAGGAATTAAGGCTCAGACAGGTTGAAATTTATCCAGGATCACCCACCCAGCCATAGGCCAAATAGTAAGAGCTCCAATTTAGGTCTGCTAACAAGTCCTGAACTCTTTCCACAATAAACAGTATGTTCACATCCATTGCTCTGGGGAAAATTATAGATTTTCTATAGATTAATCTACCTTGTATGGTTGTTATGGGGATCAAATCAGACACTCATATGGAGGTAAGTATTAAAACATTTCAAGTCATAAATGAATGTCAGCATAACCCAAGTTTTTCTAGGCCTTACCTGTCTGGGCACATAATTAAAAAGATATTAATTGCAATAAACCAAATTCTATGGGCTTTTGCATCAGGATTTTGACACAGGGCCTTGGCCATCTATGTATGGTCCTTCAAATATTTCTAGGGACCCCTCAGGATTCTGGGAATTCATATGCATTCATAGGCAAGGTCATTCCCACTGGTTCCCTGCTGCTTCATTTGGCTCTGTGGGCTCCCATTGAAGCATATGGAGTGCCCAGCCAGATGATATCCATTGGTCAGCAAGGAAGAGGGCCTCACTTTCATTCTCTTTATACTACACCCTGCTGTAGGGGCACAAATCCAAGATTGCTTGTGCCCCTCTGTCTCTAAAGATTCTCTTGTGAAAGGAGCTTTGCCCAATCCTCCCCTCCCCATGGTCCAGACACAAGCCAGCATGGGCCAGACCTCACGCTGTTCTCTCCATCTCCTGTCCCTTCCTCCTAGAAACCTCTGCACTAACCTTCTTCCACACAAGCCCCTTTCCCTCCTGCGAGTGGGTCATGCATTTGTGCTCAAGGGGAAGCTGCACCACTCGGCAGACAGGGCCAGAGAAGACTGCATCCCACGTAGGCTCAGGTGGGACGTCTGTTAGTTATTAACTTTTACTGATGCTTAAGTGAAGTGCTATGGGCATTTAGAAATCACATGTAATTTGGTTTGAGCTTTAAAAGGAAGTAAATATTTTGATGGGAGAAGTTGGGGTAAACAGTTGTCTAGGGAGAAGATGCCCTGTGAAAAACGCAGTGAGTAGAATAGCATTGGTTTGATTTAAGCACCAGATCTACAGAGGGAAGCAATGGGAGAGAAATTTGGAAAGGTAGTCAGAAGTGTGCGGGGGACATACCATGAACATGCACAAGAACTTGGACTTTATGTGGTAGACAACGGTGAGCCAGTGGATGTTACTTAGAGGGAAGGAGCAGCTGTGCTTTCGCAGCACAGATGACGGTGGGGCTGGGGTGAGGATTGTAGTGGTGCCCAGGTGAGGGAGGGCAGCCAGCTGGAAAACCATTATTACTTTCCTAATTTATGCAATAGAGACAATGTCAATTTCATGAGTGTTTTAAGTATAAAACAAAACTATCAGAAATTTTCAAGTATTGTACCAACCTCACAGAGGTAGCGAATATATTTATTAAATACAATGACACGTTATGAGATTCTTCTTATGTTTAATAAACATTTGTTAACCTAGTTTTCCAGTGATAAGTGTGGAGATAAGAGACAGTTATATCATTCACTATCTTAACTGGCTTTTGATATTCGCTTTTACATTTATCTTATGTGTTAGAAATTTGGAGTTTCTACCATGTCATCTCTGAATCCAAGGCTTCTTCTGAACCATATCTGACTGCAAAATAGAGATGTTTTGACTAGAAGGGTTCATCACATTAAACCCTTTGCACGAAACATTGGAGAAGACCGTGATGAAGATGTTCTTAAGTTATAAAATCCAAACGTTACTCCTTCAAGTTCACAAGGGCAAGGCAATGGGAAGGGCGTTTGCTTCCATTTTAAATTGCCTTTCCAATAATGGGATCTTTGGTGTCTGAGTCCCTCCCCCCCCACCCCCCACTGAGTTCCAGCCATACAAATTACTTGGCAGGTAGTTTCTTCCCAGTTC